GACTCACAAGTTTTTGTTTGCTTGGGCTACGAATATATGAAGGAATCCCAAAAGAGCACCAGTTCAACAAATGGTCTACTATTTCGCTCACACTCTCACAAATTTGCATACCAACTCATTAATAAAGCACAGTGAAATAAAACAACTGAGCAGATGCTTTGGGAAACATTAAACATCTATATGCAAATATTGATGACGCATTAGCTAGAAAACCACCTCAAACAAATACAAAATTAAAGAAGACAAAAACACCAAATACCCAAGTCAATTTGGATGACCTGACAAAAATGAGGCCGAATGGAGTTTCTATGTCTAGGTGGAAAGGGTATTGGGAGAAGAATAAGAGACCAAAAAATATATATTTCAATATTATAAGATATTTTAATTATTGTATGATTGTCTTTCTCTTACCTAAATCATTGTATACAGGAAAACATCAAGAAACATCAACAAGCCAAGTTCCTGGTATACCATCCGAGGCAAATTTATTTGATATGCCATATTATCTCAGTCAGTTATATAACTGAAACTCGGTATCATATAACATAAAGGTCGGTGACATTAGCACTTATATTTCATTTTAATATCTCAATTTCTTCAGGAATATGATGCATCGCAACCAACACAAGGATATACCCAACTGTTGATGGATTCAATAAGTGATTTATATTTGTAATATTATCGAGTCCATGTAATTCATATATTTGTATTATTTGTAACAATATCGAGTCAATGTATTTCATATATTTGTATTATTTGTAATATTATCGAGTCCATGTTATCACGTAACTAATATAAGTTGTTATATTGCTAATTCAATAACGCACGCCCGTGTTTAATATTAATTTATATAAATTGATATATTACAAATTTAATAATGTTGACACCGTATATAACTTAATTTTGCGGTTTTATTAATATTGGATTTATTACTTATATAAATTTATAAATTTATACTTAATTTATTACATATATTACTTAATATATATAATAACACATATATACCGTGATGTATTACTTAATTTATACATTACTTATATAAATTGATATATTACTTATATAAATTTATACTTAATTTATATATTTATATAATTTTGCATTTAAACCGACCCTATAACGCAGGATGGTGTTATTCCGCGGCCTATAACGACTCCCCTTGTTATTCCGCTAAGGTATAACACATGGGGAATATTCCCCATATGTTACATCGGTAACACATGAGGAATATTCATCATGTGTTATACCATCATAATATAGCACATAGACATGTTATTCTCCCGCCAATAACGCAGGTAAGTGCTATTCCGCCGGGCTACATGTGTTACCGCGGTGTAACACATGGGGATTATTCCCCATGTGTTATACTACCGTAATATAACACATATATGTGTTATTCAGCCGTCACGATATATAATAACGCTTTATTTATCGAAAATATTGTGTTATACTTCAATTAAACCGCATTATTTTTTAAATAATCATGTTATACTACAATATATACGCGTTATATTGAGAAAACATGTGTTATTACAAATTATTGAAGCGTTATTTTGCAAAATTTAAGTGTTATACCACAATATTATTGCATTATTGTTCAAAATTCAAGTGTTATAACGACTTTAAGTTGATATAACGAGTTCAAAATTCAATTTTATCATGTTATATGACTATAACTTGAAAATTTCAAAATTTAAGTGTTATATCGTAAAATAGTTCTTAAAATACTCAAATATAAATAAAGTTCAAAATATAAATAATCATGTTATACTGCAATATATATTTGTTATATTGAGAATACGTGTATTATAATTAATTATTGAAGCGTTATTTTAAATTTTATAGTGTAATATGATCTTATAACCTGAAATTTTCAAAATATAAGTGTTATATCGTAAAATTTAAGTGTTATAACGAAATATTGTTGATAAAAATTTCAAAATCTTGTGTTATACCAAATTATATGACTTTATAACCTGTAATTTTAAAAATATAAGTGTTATACCGTAAAATTCAAGTGTTATAGCGAAATATTGTTGCTCAAAATTTCAAAATTCATGTGTCATAACGATTATATGACTTTGTAACCTATAAGCATATTTAACCGTAAGCAAATGGCGTAAACAAATTCACATATTTAATCATAAGCAACTTCAAGTGTAATAAAACCATAAACACATATTTAAGCGTTTAGATTCTTGGACCACATACAAATGGCGTAAGCAAATTCAGTTCTAAATCTCCCCATGTCTTGTTGCCAGTTAAGATGCGGGGTCCAATCAATATCTTGTGCTTGTGGCAACACCAAATTTTTCATGAATTTGCATACAAACATATCGCAATCAATACTATTGTTTTGTGTCGGTGCACCCCTAACAAGTGTAAGTCTCCATGTCGTAGGTTTGGCTCTACCAAAACACTTTGCAGCATCCTTTGCAAACAGCTTCACCTGCAAAGTTTATGGGATTGTTATTTTTGTTCTTGTGGCAACACCAAAATTTGCATGAATTTGCATATAAACATACCGCAATCAATACTATTGCTTTGTGTAGCTGCACCCCTAACAAGTGCAAGTCTTCATGTCGCAGGTTTGGCTCTACCAAAACACTTTGCGGCATCCTTTGCAAACAACTTCACCTGCAAAGTTTATGGGATTATTATTTCTGTGATATTGGATGTTATTAGTGTGTAATATACTTACAACTTGGTGGGCAGCATCCTTATGCACGGTGTTGGGATGAGAGTCATACAATTTACATTTTTTCAATTTCAGCCCCTCAACCAACAAAGTCCAATGGTCGTTATGAATTATAACAAATAATATAATTTGTGTTTCTTTTATACTGTCCTTCGTGATATGTTTCAAGAAAGCAGTGTTATCCAAATGTTTATGCATCTAAAGAAGTTGTTACATTGCATGGTGTTTACAATGAAAGTATGAGCAGTAAAAATATGGATAAATTAAACAATTACAAATTACCCAATATTGCGAAGTTACAAAGAGGCAAGGTCGAGTGACCTGACAACTCTTTCACGCAAAGTGTCTGCAAAAACATCAACTTGTTCGTTTCCAAACCACTTGTTTAGCAATACATCCTCGAAGTCGGCTCGATCAATTGCCCGCTCATAACCTTTATTTGCAAGAAAATCATGTCTGCATATATAAGAGAAAGAGAGATTGTCACTTTTGAAAATCAGATGATTGCATAAAATCAAAACTGTTGTCAAAAGTTACTTACACCCCAATGTGTGTAGCAATGCAGTCATCAATAATCTGTGTTGTTGTCCACCCCTGAATTTTTGACCACCTCGGCATTTGTGGTTAACCTCAGGTGCAGCGGGAGTAAAGAGAGTTGTGTGCTCGAAGAACCAAAACAACAGATAACACATATCAAAAATTATTTTGTCAAAAAAAAAACAAAAATAATTAGTAAAAAGGAAAATTTTTAACTGTAGAATATATGAACTTACATATAAAAGAAATATAAAACCACTTAGTAACCAAGTGACTGATTTCGCCTTATTTTGATTACAACAAAGTTTATTTGATCAATCATATAATCATAGATAGCAACAGACCACTTAAACAAAGAGAAGGTCTGTACGTTCTCTCCAAATGCATAAAGACCTGCAGACACGCTGAAATTGCTCGAAGGAAAAAATAAATTTGTCAGTAAAAACTTAAGAAATAGTTTCTCAAAATGAGTGAAGACTCTCCTGAAAAATTAGTCACATCTTCATTTATTGCTCTTGAATCTACACAAGATGATAGACTTTTCCTCCAACTAATAGATTCCCCTCTGTTTGGCATGTCTAACAAAAACACTACATGGTTGGCGTGGAATTTTACCAACTTCCCACCCATCACAAAAGCTCTTTTGTTATTGTTGTTTATTGTTGTAGTATTCTCGTGCTACTGTTGGGTTAATGTTGTGTTATCATGTGTTATGAATGTGTTGTCATTGTGTTATGATCGTGTTATGCTTGTGTTACACCAAAAACACAACTATAACACAATAATAACACACCATAACACAATTCTAATAGCATAACACAACAATAATACAAAGTAAAACATCTATAACACCATTATATCAACACAACACAACAATAACACACACCAACACATTTATAACACACAATAACACGTCTATAACTCACAATAACACAACTATAATACGATTATAACACACAATAATACATTATCACACATATATAATGCATCTCTAAAAATCATAACATAACAACAACACCTTTATAACACACAATATCACACAATAATACAACTATAACACTATTATAATATTACAATAACACAACTAAAACTTCAACATTTATTTTAAAATAAACAATGTAGTTACCTCAACGACTTCGGGAGACCGTTAGATTATTCTTCGGCTCTCTTGCGACCTTTTATTTTGTGTGCTACAATGAGAAAGAAAATAAATCACTAGTTGTTGTCAAGCTTCTTCAGGCCTATTAAATCACTAGTTGTTATCAACACTACATAAAATAAGTTTTTGTCTGTTTCAGGATTTAATTCGGGTCGAATTCACCATAAACACACCTATTAAATTTCTCGCGTTGATTCGAGTCGGGTCAAACATTTTTTTTTTAATTTTTATATGTTGTGTGACTCAATTTCACTTGTACTCCACTTATTGGACTACACAAGCAACTCACCTTGCAAAGTCCTGCGGAAGGCAATATATATATTAACTATAAAACTTATATTTTATAAATATATAATATTTATATTAGTACTAATAATAATATATTATTATTAATTTGTTATATATTATAATTTACAGAATTTAATTTTATAAAAATATGATAAAATTTTAAATATTATAATTATTTTTAAAATAACACAAATTATATATAAAAGAATTTTTTAAATTATTTTATATTTCATACTTCTCTAGGACTCCGCTTTCCCCCTCTCTGTAATCTAACCGTCTCATCACCCAAAGATCTAACCCTATTCTGAAAATCTTCTCGCCATGAATCCAGACAATTTCATTCACAATACCAGCGAGGCCATCGCCAACGCCTCCGGAGGCGCTGGAGATTCTGCCGTCGCCTCCATCGAAAGCCTTAAGAAAC